TAGTCTACTTCATAGACGTATCTTCCCAGACCGAAAGAGAACAACTGTCAGGAAGTTACCTAATTCTCTGTCATGCACAGCACATAGTATCATCATAGTGATCTGAATAACTATGAAACATAAAACAAAGGAAACTAAACTCCTTCAGGAAGTGGACAATGAAGATTTGTCCTTATGCAAAATAGAAATACTTAGCCAGCCCCTTAGAATTTTAACAAAATATTGTTTTCCTCGGAAGAAAAAAGGCTGTGTACTTTTCCCCAAAGTTGCTTTCATCAATTTTGATATAAAAATATATTTAAATAATTCTTATAACTTTTGTCCCCCAGAAGTATTCTGTAAAGAGATAAAAGCCAGGTGTAAAGACATGTCTTAAGGCAGGCAGTGTGATGGGAATTCTTATGAGCTGATGCTTCATGAAGCATACAGAGCAATAGATAGAAAAGAGCATCGAAAAATATGCAGCTTGATGAGTACGGCTGCAATAATGTGTAAGCGCAAACCTAGGCAAGGACAAGCTGAAAGATCTATCAAGAAACTAGTTTTGACAGCGAGAGCTGTCACAATAGTACAATAGTAATTACTGTTATCTAAGGCAGTGCATTTCAAAGTGAGGTTAAAATAAAATTAAGTGATGGGGACATTAATAGATATGAAGAAACAAATTCTTCCCCTAAAAATAAATTCAACCATTTTAAATGAGTTTCTAAACTTGTTTTTCCTTCAATGGATAGATAGAAGCCTTTTATTTTGTTAATGTATAATGTGAATTTACAAAAGATGTATTTGTTATAGAGTATTACTCAAGCTTATCTGACCAATGAATTCTTTAAAAATGATACACAAATGTACATTTCCCAAAAAGAGAAGTGTGTAGGGAAAATTTAGTTTAGGAAATGTCAGTGGAATGAGTTTTAGAAAGAGATATTTATAGACAGCAACAGTGATTTTTTTTTCTGACTTTTGTAATTGATTAAAGCAGACAGAAGCCTGATTTGAGAGTAAAGGAAATTTGGCAGGATGGGTCAGAGGTTTCCAGTATATGGAAAATGTGATTTAGGCATATTTCACTAAGGTACACTAAGTATTAGACAACTTTAAAAGAGAAGCTATTTATCAATCCATAAGTCTCCCAAAGAATTTTAATGCAATGCTCACTCCTTTTCCTTTATCATTACTATGTTATATAGATGTAATGGATAGGATAAGGAAAATGTTGGGTACGTACTTAAAATGGTGAGTTTGTAAAGAGCATGAAAAGGACCATCAAATGAGCAAACCGATAAATTGTGTGTAGTAGATTTAGACTTTAGAACCAACTATGGATATTAAAACATTTGTATTCTGCTCTATAAGTAAGAAACTTCTAATAAGGAAAAGAAAGGGAAAGAGGGAGGGAGGAAGAGAAGAGGAGAGAAAAGGAAAGGGGGGAGGGGAAGGGAAGGAAAAGAAACAAGAGAAAGTCTGAGGAAGAGGAAAGGAAAGGTAAAGGAATGGAAGAGTAGCAAGGGGGGTAGGAAGGAGGAAGTCAACTCAATTGAATAAACCCAGCAAGTTAGCTCTGAAATATTGGGTGAGTTTTGTATTAATCGTTCATAACAAATCACAGTTTATTTTCCTAAGGAGCTTTTAATCTCTCTTGTTGGGAAGAATTTTAATGAACTGATATTTTAATGTAAAATTCTTTAATCAAAATTTAACATTTAGGGACATTTGGAGACTAGTTTTTAGTGAGGAAATTCTGAATAGGTGCATGTGTAGTTTTTATTTATGCCCACACATATACTGCCATTGTATGTCACTTGAAACTGCCTTTATGCTTCCTTTGAGTGCTGCTTTGTGGTTCAGGTCTTATGCATCTGACATACCTAGGGGCTTCACTATGTAATGATCACGTTTACTTTCCTTCCTTCCTCCCTCCCTTCCTTCCTTCCTTCCTTTTTTCCTTCCTTCCATCT